TTAAAAAAATAAAGAATATAGCAGCTGTATTTTGTCTTTATTTTGATTTTTTTTACTCCTAAGAGGAAGAAACATTTCTCCTATAGATGGAAAAATGCCAGATAAAGAAAAAAACTGAATCCAAAAATGCTGGATTAGAGATAGAATAATAAGTAAAAAGCTGGCTCTAAGGCTATATGAGAAATTAAATTTATATTTAAATTTAAATTAAATGTATATTGAAAAATCATCTGAGTTGTACTGATTTATTTGCCTCTGTTTTCCTATTTCTTTGTTTTTTGTTCTTTATGTATAATCTTGTCTGAAAAGCAGTCAGTTGAGACAAATCCCTTCAAATTAGTTGTGCCATTTTTATTTTTGTTTTTATTTCTCCCTTTGACTTTCACTCACATTAATTGCCTAATCTTGTTATCCATAATAAAAGGTTTGAATTTATTTACTGAATCAACCCACTCATTCTGTTACATTGACCACCAGGAGGCACCGTGTGACTGGTTTCATTCTAATTTGGAACACTCTTCTCTCCATTAAGCTAAGCACCACAGAAAAGTCAAGGGACATTTACTACTCAACTGCTTGAAAAGTAAACCAATCCAAAGAGGGATTGGTCCTGAAGAGAATGAATGCTGGCAGCAGAACAAGCAGGAGAGAGAGAAGATTCAATTACATGATTGTGGGTGAAGGAACTACAGAATCCTCCTGAGTGTCATCATTTCCTTGTGCACTTTTGTGCAAGCATACGTCCACAATACAAAAAACATAAAAAGTAACTTCAGAATTGATCCTAAAAAAACGGAGTAGTTTAATTTTTGATTGATAGAAACAGGCAAGTTTTATTTCAAGGTTAAAAAAAAAAAGGTAAAAGGTGTCCCTGTGTATTTTACTCCGCTAGTTGTTATCAACTATAGGGGGCAGTCCTCATGTCTGTTTCTGTAAGCCACTGAGCCAGCGTTGTCAAAAGACGTTTCTGTTACCTTCTCACCAAAGTGGTACCTATTCATCTACTCACATTTATTTCAACAAGACACCAAAAATACAGAAAAGAAAATTATACTTACAGAATTCTAAGAATATTTAAATTCAACATGATTGCACTTCAATCTTGTTGAATTCAAATATACACAGAAGTGATAATATTCACACAAATGAACACCACCAAGAAATCCAAAATAGTGTGTATATGAGCGTGTGTGTGATGGCTAATATTAATAGGGCTGGCATGTTTTATGGATCCTTTAAAGTTTAAAAGATAGCATCAAAACACAAAGATATGGGAATTCGTCATTTTAAAGTATCCTGTTCTGTTTTCATGGTTTTGCTTTAAGAGCTTGCTTTAAAGATGCATCTGCTTTAATGAATCAACTTGGAAAAAGCTTGAAAAACATCACATTAAAAGTGATCATACTTCCCCCCCCCTTTAAAATGACCAAGTAGTTTTCTGAAAAAGGGAAAACCATTCTATCAGTTCCTCATTTTTAGGGCTAACACATTTTTCAGAGTAGAGAAGTAAAATGCAGGAATTAAAGTCAATGAAAAATGACTAATACACATAACAAAAGCCCAAAGGCTACACATAATGCACTCTACCCATGTTCAAATGATGGCTACTTATCCATTCTAAAGTGATGGTTGAAATATACTGGTACTGACACAGTGAATTAGCTAATATTGTTGCTTTAGGCCATGCAGTTTAGATGTTTTTTTCCTCTGAAGAAACTCTGCTGCAAGTCTGTGACTTGATTGTAATATTTATTTTATTTTATTTTTAAAATTTATAAGCCGCCCCACTCCCGGAGGACTCTGGGAGGCTAACAATAAAAACACCATTAAACATAACAAAACAAACAGTACAAGAACAGTCATCCAGGGGTCAGATTTTATAAACCCCAGGCCTGCCGGAAAAGCCAGGTCTTAAGCAGCTTACGGAAAACCAACAGGATGGGAGCAGTCCTAATCTCCGGGGGGAGCTGGTTCCAAGACGTGGGCACCATCACAGAGAAAGCCCTCCTCCGCGGCCCCGCCAAATGGCACTGCTTGTCCGACGGGACCTGAAGGAGGCCCAGCCTGTGGGATCTAACCGGACGAAGGGAACTATGAGGTAGTAGGCGGTCTCGCAAATAGCCTGGCCCTGAGCCATATAAGGCTTTAAAGGTAATAACCAACACCTTGAATTGGACCCGGAGACCAATAGGCAACCATAACATGATCTGACTGAGTCAACCATTCCCTTAGCCCTATCCATTGGTAGCATTTAATTACAAGGGAACAAAGTCCTCCCAGTCATCACAATGGAAGCTGAACAGCTGTCAAATCTTGACTTTTGGGGTGGCAGCAAAGGAAGAAAGGTGAAAGAAGCACAACAATTTGTAGCAACTGGATTGGGATTAGCAACACTGTGGATGAAATTGGTTGGTAGCATACATATCCCCTTTCTGCCCCTTTTCCATCTGCACTCAGTGGAAACAAAGAGAAAAAGTGACAGAGCACCTAAGAGTTCTGCCTTGTCTAGAACTTTTCTTTAGAAGTAGGGAAATAGATACAACACTTTATTAAACCACCCAGCCCTATTTGTAGGAGATTTAATTTAGCTCTAATCAGCTATCTGGGATTAATTGATGGGTTATAGATAATATCCTTGACTCAGCTGGGTGGAAAACCCCCTTGACCTAGTTGTGTATGTCATATGAATAGACTTGTTTTCAGAGAACCAGCAATGGCCAAGGTATGAAAGATAATAGAAAACTTATTAAATCAAATTGTGAGTGACCCTCGTCCCCCAATATTCCTTCCTTCTGTTCTCTACAGAATCATATTGTTGGAAGTGATCATTTAGATTCCTGAGTCCTATCCTCGGTTCACTGTGAACCTCTTCTTCCCCTCCCCATCCAGCTACAGACTGTGCAGTCTCTTAATCTGGACCTCTTTCTGGGAAAGTTCTGTGTTGCCAAGTCTTCCCCACTGCTCCTGCAGGTGCACAATCCATCACAACATAATGGTCCTACTGTTGCTGAGTACAGATCTGTTCAGATAAGGAAAAAGTCTCCCTTCTGACTCTAGTAGTCTCACGAGGTGGACCATATCTCAGGAAAGTGCCCAACTGTTTCCAGGAGCAGAGCAGAGATGGAAGGCAGGGCATAGGGTAAAAAATATTCTAGGTTACATGCTAATTAAGTTGTATCTGGTGCCAGAGTCTATTAGGGTTTGCAACTGTATTGCTGCCTGACTTTGAAGAGTAAAATAAATGACAACATATTTGTCTATAGTTACATATGTCTAGGATACATTTGGTACATTTGATGTTAAGACTCATTGTTTGAGTGACACCTTTTCTGACAACCCAGATATGGGATGTTTAGGGTACCTCCTTGCAAAAAAAAAAAAAAAAAAAAAATCCCTCTGATATCCAAACAGTCTGTATTAAATCAAATTTGGGTATCAATGGAAGACTGAAGAAACTGGCAGAGTAAAAGGAGGAAGGAAAGAAACCACTATTCATTTTTGTCCTTCTCTCTTCTTACATCCTCGCATAAGAGATATCAGAAGTTGAGAAGATCTGCTGAATGGGTTTCCTCATTATTACATCTGGCAGTCCTTGTTTAAGCTGGTAAATGCCAGGCAACATCCTAAACTAACAGCTGAAAGTCAGCAATATTGCACTGCGTGCTTACCTTATTGGAAGTTAAGGATTTCACAGTTGGTGGTCACTTGTTTGACTAGATCATTAATATTAATCCTCAGGCAGCAAGGCAGATACTCAGTAATGAAGGTTTGTGGCTACTGTAGCTGCTCTAGCAATGACTGACAGAATTTGGGCCAGGATTGTTAGGGATGTTTTGATTGTGATCAATGTTGTTCTACCTGGTTTATTTTGGAGTAAACTGATCTATCTGTATCACAAATTGATTCAGGGCGTAAGCTCTTTTGTAACACTGAGAATATAGGTAGTAAAATTTTGCTTTCAGACTTCATGCCAAGCATGGCAATAAATTTGGTCTTTCCAGACACTATGAAACTCACAGATATGGCAAAATCAGATTTACTGCAGATAAAGTGCAAACCATATACACACAAAATATCCAGACACCGAAACCTCTGTACATATGTTTGCTTCAATGTTTAAATTCTACATCTTTCCCACCTGCTTTTCAAGGCAATGGCCACTTTTCCATTATCATGGCCTTGAACCCCAGAAACATTTGCTCAAAATTTATATAATAGTTCCTTTTAGCCTACTGGTTTCTGGCTCACCATTTTCAACATTTATAGCTCTTATCAAGGAGGATAAGGAGAAAATAAGTTCTAATTAAATCCACATTTTCTGTAGTTTTAAATACATTCTAATTTCATAAATAAATAAGTTCTAAATTCATCTATTATTAGTTCCCTTGCCTCTACTTTACTAGTGAGTACAATTGATATATTCCCAATGGTAATCAGTTTCCCTGGGAAGTAAGACAAGACTTAAGCACAACAGAAGCACAGTAAATGTTCAGTAGAAAAAAATATTCAAATATAAGTATTCTGTCTGTTTCAAAAGAAATATCAATCTCCTCAAAGAGTGGGATTGACAGGCTTGGGTACTCCTTGATTTAAGTTATTAAATCTGGTCTGATTACAATTAACATTGCATAAACATCAGTTGTTCATCCAGCTGCACTTTTTTAGTAGAAATAAAAAAAATCCTCCATAATATTTTACTTCTGGACATGGACTTTTCCTTTCTTTAGAAAAGAACACTTGCTGTTATCAAGCAACAAATATATCTAGATTAGATTAGCAAAATAACAGGTTAGAAAGATATGTTTAACAAAATTAAAGAAAATTATCTGAAAAAGTTTCCCCCTCTTTATTTTTAAGAAATATGTTTTTATTTATCCAATTATTTTTAAGAAATTGGTAGCAAAATCTTTTCCACTAGTTGCAAATTGGAAGGGGCTGGAAATTTTCAGTCCCAGAAAACACTACATATGGTTAAAACCAACATTATTTTATGTACTTACCATGGACTGTAGATACCAAGAGAATTGTGAAGAACAGCAGCAACTGTGATGACCACATGACTGTGGCCCAAAATATAAAATTATTTCAACAGTGGAAGTTCTCAGAAGAAAAATATAAAGATTTCTCTCTGATAGTAGTCCTCTCAGGAATATTCACTTTAATCACAATTCAGTGAAGCAGATGTAGAACAGAACAAACTAGCACTAAAACCACCTTCGACAAATGTCCAAAACTCAAAACCTAGAAATAAAAATAAAAGTTATAGTTAATTTAAAAAGTAAGTGCTGTTATTCAGTTCAACATAATCACTATAACATCTGATTTAAAACTGTATCAAGAGGTCAAGAGCATATTTTGACATTTTGATAATCAAAACAAAAAACATGACAAGGTCAAACAGTATTGTGATGCTTTCATCATATATATAAATATACTGTATGTTCCAGAGAATCATGACATTATGGGTTTAAATAGATATGATTTGTTGGAATTACCATAGCTCTTTCACTGAAAGAGATTTGAGAATAGCCAGGAATGAGGGAGATTAAATAGTTGGGAATAGGGTGAGGGAGTAATTAATTTAGGTATATGTGTCCTAAAGTACCTTGAGATAAATTCAGATTCTTAGCAACTATCAATATATTATCCTAATGAGATAGGCCTTAGGAGGATCTCTAAACAGCCAATTCAAAACTGTATCAGTATGGACCAATATTAAATGTCAATTTTAAAACAGTCATCAGATTAAAGCAGTAATTTTATTACTATCTTCTTTATTCTGCATCTATTTATTTCATTGTCTCTCAGACAGCTATTATAATCAGTCAAATAAGTACAATTTTACTTCAGATTCTTTTTTTTATTCTACTGTTATGGCATATGCCATTATAAATCCAGACAGAGGTTATCAGCAGCAGGATGATTTCATCAGAAAGATCAAGTAAGCATTGCAATGTTCCATCCCTTATGTACAGTGCATTCAGAAAGCATTCAGACCCCTTTCATTTTTGTTAATTTTGTTATGCTGCTGCCTGATTCTACAATTGTTGAAATTCATTTTTTCTCATTAATCTACACTTAGTACCCCATAGTGACAAAGTTAAAACAGAAGTTTAGAAATGTCTGTAAATTTATTAAAAAAGAAAAAAACTGAAATATCACATTGGCATAAGTATTCAGATCCTTTGCAACAACACCTGAAATTTAGTTCAGATGCCTCCCATTTCTCTTGACCATTGTTGTCATGCTTCTATAAACTTGATTGGAGTCCACCTGTGGTAAATTAAATTAATTGGACATGATTTGGAAAGGCACACATTTCTCTACAGAAGGCCTCACAGCTGACAATGCATACTGTAACAGAGCAAAAGCCATGAGGTCAAAGGACCCGACTGCAGAGCTCAGAAATATGATTACTGCAAGGCACAAATTCTGCTGCACTGAAGGTTCCTAAGAGCACAGTGGCCTCCATAATTCTCAAATGGAAGATGTTTGGTACAACCAGGATTCTTCCAAGAGTTGGCTGCTGGTCAAAATGAGCAATTGTGGGAGCAGGGGCCTTAGCAAGAGACCAAGAACCTAATGGTCACTCTGACTGAAATCCAGAGATCATGTTTGGAGATTGGACAGAGTTCTAGAACAGGGGTGTCAAACTCACAAGGTCATGTGATGTGTCGTGACGTATTGTGACTTTTTTTCCATTGTCGGCAATGGGGTGGGTGCCGTTTTGCCATGATGTATCCGGCCTGTGGGCCAGCAGTTTGATACCCCTGTTCTAGAAGGACAACCATCACTGCAGCCATCCACCGATCTGGGCTTTATGGCAGAGTGGCTAGATGAAAGCCTCTCCTCAGTGCAAAAAAGCACCTAAAGGACTCTCACACTGTGAAGAACAAGATTCTCTGATGTCATGAAACCAAGATTGAACTGTTTGGCCTCAGTTCTAAACATTATGTCTGGAGGAAACCAGGCACCGCTCATCACCTGCCCAATATCATCCTAACAGTGAAGCATAGTGGTGGCGTGCTGTGGGGGTGTTTTTCAGCAGCAGGGACTTGGGAGACTAGTCAGGGTTGAGGGAAAGCTGAATAGAGCAAAGTACAAGGATATCTTCAATGAAAACCTGTTCCACAGTGCTCAGGACCTCAGACTGGGCTGAAGGTTCACTTTCCAATGTGATAACAATCCTAAACACACATCGAAGACAAACCAAGAGTGGCTTAGGGTCAACTCTGTGAATGCCCTAAAGTGGCCCAGCCAGAGCCCTGGCTTATACCAATGTGATATTTCTGTTTTTTTCATTTTAATAAATTTACAAGCAATTCTAAAATTCTGTTTTTGCTTTGTCATTATGGGGTACTGAGTAGAGATTAATAAGAAAAAAAAAATTCAACAGCTGTAGAACCAGGCTGCAGCCTAACAAAATTGACAAAAGTGAAGGGAGTCTGAATACTTTCTGAATGTACCGTATATGTGTACAATGTTGTAATGCATGTATCAAAGGTGTGGAGTTTGCATCATGAAATCATAATAGTTTCATCACTTGCCTCTCAATGTTACAACTGGCATCTTCTACTAGGCAATGGTGAGGTCACATAATCAGAAGTGGCATGAAATACTGATTAAACACTTTCACTCATAATGATGAAATGTGCTTTTGTGGATGGAAATTTCAATAATTTCATAACATATTGGAAGATTTTGAAAATTATGGAGAAAAAGCAGTCACAATAAAAAATATTATTTCTGCAGTTTTACTGCATAGGAAAACCATGCATGTACATTAAATGAAAATGAGAGAGGTGTACAAGGAAATAAGATACTAGAAATCTTTTAAAGTACAGTACATTGTTGCTATAACAAAACTTTTTCCAGAAAGTCTTCCAATCTTTTATTAAAATTCTACAATAAAAGTTATTTTGGATTTGTGGGATTTGTTGTCCAGTTTGAGAATATAGAATTTAAGGAAAGAGCTATGTTTCACATTTTTATTCATAGATATGAGATAAATTCATTGAGTAATGGGGAAATAGGTTTGAATGAAAACACTTCAGGTCATACTGTAGGCATCTGCAGTTAGCCTCAGTAATGTCAAATTGTCAGAATATATGTCATGACTTGATGTCTGTGCCTTTTTGTACTTTTGTCCTGACATCACACTCAAGTTTGTATAGGGCAGTTTGGTCCATGATACATGTTTGTTATTTGTCTCCTTTGTGGGGGTACCCATATTCAGAATTTTTTTTTAAGTGCAGTGTTTTTCTCCTTTCGTTGATTTTATACCAGTCATTTTTATATAGAACACTGATGTTTTGTTTTGCAATATTACCTCAATGAAGACATAAAGCAGTGATTTTTTTTTGATAATTGATAATCACATCAGAATAAACCTATGGGATATTATCACTAGCATTCTTCAAAAATATGTACTTGATTTCAATAATTTCAAAGAATAGACATGATAATGAGCAGTAAAAAAACAACATCATCAAAAACAACAAAATACTGCATGAATAACCAATCAAGTCAGTCTTTTTTTTTTATTGAAAATTTTTAAATTTTACAAAACAATACGGTTCCCTTCCCCAAGCCCCCCCAACCCTCCCATGCCCTCCCCCGACCTTCCCAGAGCTGAATACAGGCTTAATTAATATTTTTTCAAAAAGTCTTAAAACAAATATAAACCATAAACAAATCTAAATACATTAATTAAACAAATTGTAAACTACTTAACAATAATATATGTATAAAAAAACAAAAATACAAGGAAATACGAGGAAATAGGAAGAAAGAAAAAGGAAAAGTCTATAGAATATCTTAAATTTTAAGTATAAGTTATTGAAAAGCTAAATAATATTTTTATATCCAACTTATATTGTATAAAGTCTATCCATTTTTTCCATACCAAAAAATACTTCTCTTGCGATTGGTCTTTCAAGAAAGCCGAAATCTTTGCCATTTCCGCCAAATAAGAAACTTTAAAAAACCACTCTTGCAAGGTAGGCTAAGATTCCTTCTTCCAACATTGCCCTACTAACAACCTTGCCGCTGTGATTAAATTTAACATCAATATAGTCTCTTTAGTATCACAATCAGAAACAATACCTAACAAAAACAGTTGTGGGGTAAATTTTACCCTTCTTCTAAAAATTCTTTGAATATTCCACCATATCTTAATCCAAAAAACTTTTATATTTTTGCATGACCACCAGATATGATAATAAGTAGCATCCAAACATCCATATCTCCAACATTTAGGCTCTAAGTCAGGATACATACGAGACATTTTTTGTGGATCAAGGTGCCATCTATAAAACATTTTGTAAAAATTTTCCCTTAAATTTTGGGCTTGTGTAAATTTAACATTCCTCACCCAAATAATTTCCCAAGTATCTAATAGAACCGGTTCATCAAAATTTTGTGCCCATTTGACCATACAGTCTTTAACTAATTCTACTTCTGAATCCAATTCTACTAACACCCATAAATTCTCTTAATATGGGTTCGTCTTTGATCTTTTATTTGTTTTAATAAATTCTCATCTTCTCTAAGCAAACCCACATTACGAAATATCTTCCACCTCTCCACTATTTGTCTATAATAAAACCATGAATAAATAATATTTTCTTGTATTAAATCTTCCAAAGATTTTAATTGCCAATTTTTACCATCCCATCTAAGTAGTTGTGCATAAGAAACACTATCCATCTTGACTCCTCTCCTTATCCCTTCTATCGCATGGCCCAGTATAGCCCATAGTGGAATTTTAAAATCACTTCTATAATATTTCCTCCAAACCTGAAGTAAAGAAATCCTTATAATATGAGATTTAAAGACCCTATCAACCTTTTTATTAAAAATTAAATAGGCATGCCATCCAAAAAGTAAATCCCAACCCTCCAAGACAGTAGTTCTCAACGTTTGTGTGACGGCGACCCCTGTCACACAAACGTTCTGTGCATGTGTGGCGCTGCGCACATGCGCACGCCACCCCCATGTGCGGCGCGCATGCACGGCGGCGCCCCCGGAGGGGAGAAAATGGCGGATCGCCACCTTTGGCGACCCCCGAAAAATGGTCGATCGACCCCAAATGGGGTTGTGACCCATAGGTTGAGAACCGCTGCTCTAAGAGGAGTATTTCTACATTTGTTAAATTAACCCAATCACTTATTAATGTTAAAACCACAGCATCATAATACAATTTCAAATTCGGTACCTTGAGTCCACCTCTCTCACGAATA